GATCGGTCTTCCAGGTACCGGTGCAAACTTGTTGCTCTTTGATTCCCAGTGACACTTGAAGGCCAGCCAGAATGACTTCAGCTCAGAAGAGATGAGATGGGGCAAAGAACTGCGAAGAACAACCGGGAGAAATGAAACGATCGAAGCGGATGAACTATGAAGTAAGGTGAGAAGTCTTGCACGGTCACGTCGTAGAGCCATGGGTCTTCTGAACAACTTAAACCAAGCCAGTCCTGCACCCACTTCAGTTTGTCAAAGCCCTCAGGGTTGGGGATGAACTCAAGTTGTCAATTTGTGCAAAGTCTGGCCAAGCCTCTTGTCTGAAAGCGGCACAAAGCCGTCGCACCTACAAAGCAAAGGGGGGCATTTGAGACATTCAGATTGAATTAGGATGCGACACATTCAATATTAACAAAAATGTAATTAAAAACTCGACTACCGCGCATCTCTTTCTCTGCTGCGGGCAGGGCGCAACACTTCACGACCACTTTGGCCAATCAACACACCCGGGAGGGCCTTGAGCAGGTAGATGATGGAGGCTCCCGTACGTCTCTTTCGCAGGGTCCAACGACTCATGACCAATTTCGGACATCTCATTCAGGTCTGAGATGTATCTCAATTTCGGACATCTCATTCAGGTCTGAGATGAATCTCACCCAGACCCGGGTTGTTTCCTGCCTGTTGCGCGCGCTTGCGGAGGGAGGCCTGGAAAGCGTAATGGTGGAACCTGTTTGCGCGACCTTCTCCCTGATGAGGACGCCGCCACTTAGATCGCAAGAGAGAGCGCTTGGTTGTGATCCTACTTGTTGGGACCTTGCTGGCGTTGAGAGCTTTGACATTGCTTCGGATTGCATGGAGGCTTTTTGTGTCAGGCATTGGAGAGCAGCCACGACGATGAGATTCCTGCCGTCGTGGAGCCAGTCCCATGGCCTCGTGGGCGTCACCTTTTTTCTCGGCGCGGTTGGTCGCCACATGATTGGACCCGCGCGCCGGGGGGCGTAAACTGACAAGCTGCCAGGAAAGCTGTAACCATGCTAGGAACAGAGAGAAGTTGAAGTTGGCGCAGGAGTTTATCCACTGGTGTGGTCGAGCTGGGATCGACATCCATGCATTGTTCCAGTCAACACACCCGTCTCTCCCAATCCATCAGCACAGGCTTGTCGCTCATCAGCAGTGGGTACCAGGCACTATACACGGTTGCTTGCGCCAGCAATGAGGGGCGCCTGCGCAGAAGATCACTCTCTGACGTTGTTGGAGGTCAAGCTTCAAGAAGTACTGTGTCGACCCAATCCAGGACTTTGGCGTTCAGCCATCTTCCACGACGTCGCGCAAACTCACGATCCTCACGCTCCGCTCAGTCTCAAGGACCCCACGCCCAGGCCTTTTGGCCCTAGTGGACTCAGGTTTGCGCACTGCGCACTGAAGATATCACGAAACCTCAGCCGGAACGTCTGGGGCGAAAAGGCCATAGGCCATAGCCTGATACCAGGATCCAAGTGCGCAAAGAGCAGCTACTTCTACCCGTCCCCAGGCCAACTCTGCCAAAAGAATCTGCCGCGGCATCGCTATATGATTCTGTGACGATGTGATGGGTGTTCCTCACGCACCCACGCACAAGCAAAATCCCAACTCGGCTGAAGTTGACGTCGCAAGACAGGCCTGTACGAGGCCAGACCGTTTATGGACCCAACAAGAAGATCCATATGTTTTTCCAACTTCATACAACCTTCTACCGTAGTTCAACAACACCTGGTTGACACGCTCTGCGTTCAACGAAGGGGGCTTCCCACAGAAGGTCCAACCACCACCGCCATACCAAGCTCACTGGCCGCCGTAGAGACACGAGAGCCTGCGTAGATCTCAATGAAATCATAGGATGGGATGGTGAGCGTGAGAGGTCTGCCTCGAAATCACTCCTTCCTCAAGCACCTGGAGTAGCTGGCTTTGTTTGGACTTGAAACGACAATGGCACCCACGGTGTCTGAGGCGTCTGTAGCAAAGACCGCCGGCTCCTATGTCTCCCACGGCAAAGGGGGCTAGAACAGCTAGCGGTACCAGCTCATCATCCACCGGACGCGGAAGAGCAACCAGTTTAGGTGAGGAACTGTTCAGGGAGTTGACATCGACCGAGTGATAGCAAGCAATGACATAAGGGCTCTCCCACTAAAGCAGCGTAGAAGTCCATCCCTAGGGCGCAAAGGTGTAGAGCATCAGTGGTATGACTCACTTGCAAGGAAATCAAATTAAACCTGACGCTTCTCAACAGGGGCTCCGGCAGTAGCCACACCACAACAAGCAACCCTGTTTGATCTCTGTACCGATAATCTTGGCACGCCTCTCACCTTTCACATCTTTCAGAGGGGAGCCCAAAATATTCCTGGAAGCACAGGCTTGCTGGCTTTTCTCAAAACAAACGGCTGCGCGATCTTGTCCTCGACCTCCACAGGAGAGAGCAATATAGTCATCAATGACCAGTCCCTGACACAGCAGTGCTCCTGAGAAAGGAACATGTTCGCCAGACGTTCGGGGCCCCTCAACAAACCCACCACGGAAGCAAATATGCACCTCTTCCACCAGCAAGCTCTTTCTATCCAAAAAATCAGTGTGAATACCAGCACGGTGAAGTTGGTCTCCAAAACTTTATCGCTCTCTTTTTGTTCTCAACCCGTCAAGCTTGTACTGCGCAAAATCATCATAAGCTTGAAGACCGCGAAGCCGATCTATCGGAATTGCTGGGCCAACCGCATTGCTAGCCATCTTGGACTCGCTCACCCAGACCTGGTGGTAGAAGTCCTTTCTATCAGTAGCATATGGCATAGGGTCCAAATGGAGATCGGCCGAGTCACTTCCAGCAGGCAAGAAGGATGATGGCCCTGAGATCTTGCACTCCTGAATATTTCTACCCCGCTGGCCCCCAATTTGTCTACCCTCGCGCTCGTTCGTGAAATTGTTGAAGACCCTCACCTCGGAGTAGTGATCCACATGGCCATCGAAGATGCCCAGCAGGTTCTTGGCATCGCATACCTTTGCAAGATAGACGACTTCATCAGGCGAGTCAGAGGCTAATGGATATTCTCCAGGGCAAAAGACATAGTCACTCAGCAACAAGTCCGGGCAGCGATACGCACCAGAAAAGCCGCAATCAACCTGTCGATGTCCTCTGTGGAAACGGGCAAACTCACAGTATCCAGCCAATCTCGCTCTTCTCTCAAGCCCTTGAGGGCGTGGAGCGCTCAAAGCCACAGGAGAGGGATCAGCACCAGAAGATGGGTGCAGCAAGAGCGGCCGAAAGTGGATGTGCCAAAGCATAAGAAGAGCGAATAGAACAAAAAGCCTGAAATTTAAAGGAAGGCCAGCGAGGACCCAGGGGATGCATGAGGAGGAGCAGTAGAGTGGGCAAGTCGCATGGAAGTCGACCGCACCCTTCACGCTCCACATGCCTTGAGCCGGTAGATGATGGAGGCTCTCGTTTCTAGATGTTTCTAGCGCATCATCAACTTTGCTTCACAGTCGCAGTAATTGCCTTCTAGGTCTGGTGTCTGGTTGCTGCTGTCTTCCCCCACACTCAGTAATTTGCACACTATGTGCAGGATAGAACGGCACACGTTGGCAAGCCTCGGCTTGGTAGCGTCGTCTAGGTTCCTCACCGCCAGTGATGTCGAAGATGGTACCCTGAATTCACGTTGATGCCAAACCGCCAACCGCCCAGCCAACAAAAGCCAAACCTCGACCGTCTCGGCAAAGGCTGCTGCTTCGCTGTTGCCTCAATGCAAAGAAGCCTTCAAAACATCACAAAAGCAAATGAGGAGAGTATGTTGGTTGCTGGGTTGCGTTGCCTAGAGCTGTCAAAGCCTCCAGCACAAAGTACAAAATATCTTCAACTCTTTTCTTGAGAGCAAAGCAAGGCTTGTGGCTTGTGCATGAAAGCTTTCAATAGAATGCCCGCCCCTGCCTCACCAATGGTCTTCCGCAGCAATTCTAGCGCTGGAGTCTCAGCAACACAAAATTGTCAAATCCGGAGTAACCACAATCATTGAATATTTGCATTCAAAATCATACAATGAAGCTTTTTGACACTCAATCTGGTCATGCCTGCTTATCAAACTCTCATTGTGATGGACGCAAGATTGTGTTCATACCCAAAGTTCAACCACTTCTAGGCGGCACACCCGTCCATCTGCTGTCTTCTGAACCTCTGAAGCTCAGATTGCCATGTTTTGCGCAATAGAGAGTCGTCTCTTAGTCTGCAAAATGTGTTTGGCCCCGTTTTCATTATCTGGGTCTGGGTCCGGGTCCTTCCTCCTCTTGCCGCATGATGACTTAGTACGTGAATTTTGTCCCTTAACTGTTCCTGGAAAACTGCTCCAACTTGGCAGATGTCTATAAGGCACCTTTTCCTCCTACGCCTCAACATGACATAGTCTCTCCAAGTTGTATGAATACGTATTATGTAGCAGTTGAATCTCTATGGAAAAGAACAAGTTCTCGTTGCAATGATTCAGCTCGACCTGTATTTGAGGCTATTTTGCTAACATTACATAGATGTCTCTACTAGCTAGCACTATATAATATGTATAATATGATAATGGGGATAGCATAGGATTACAAATATCAGTAAGCCTGAATTGTGAGCATGTCACAAGCTGACTCGGCAAGAAAGCACCTTTGTCACAGTCTGCTGAAGGTGGACTTCTTCAATGTCCAAGGTCTTCCAAACCTTCAATTCGTGGAGTTGAAGACACTAGGTCAAATTGATTGACAAAGAGTTGTTGCCGGTTGTCAACTCTTACCTCTCGCCAAGCCTTGCTGCTAAGCTGCCGCTTGAAAGCCCGTGGCGCCATGGCATCATTCGGCACTCGGGACAACACATCAGCTCCTTTCAAGACGTGCCAGTTTTACGACCACTTGAGATGTTCGGTTAAAATGCTGCGACAGACTTGCATAACTCCGAGAATCGTTAAACAAAGGTCTTTCAACAAACACTTACCAACAGGGCTTGGCCTTCTGTCTTGATTCTTCGCGTTCCCTGGGCAACACAACGACTGAAGTCAAAATAACTGGAAGTTACATTTGAGTGTCTGATACGCGTTTAAACACTCGAGCTTCTTATGGCCCACACTTCCGCGAGCTCTTCCCAGTTGCCCGTGCCTTGGTGCACATGTTAAAATCTCAAGCGCACTCTTTCCACCTTGGCCTCAGGACGTTGAGGTAGAGCGTAGGCGGTCCAGTCGCATCTAGGGCACTGCTGTGCTGTCACGCTGCGCCGATCCCATGCTTCCTCATGCTGTTCGGGTGCTGTCATCCCATTTTGTCAGACCAACAAAAGTTGAGGCCTTTTTTTGGCCTTTAGTGTGGGATGTCTGCTTGGCTGCTCAAGATTCATTCTATTGAAAATTATTGAGCATGCATTTGGCCTGCCGCTACCTACAGCGAAGCATACATCTGTGGTGTGTCTGACCACCTGGCGACATCATTTTTGCCGGATCTGCCGGAGGCAGCTGGTTGTCCGCCAGATGAGTCAAGCAAACGGGCATTGACATCAAAACACACAAACGCTTCTTTGTATTTCTTTGTGACAGAACACAAGACAAGACTCCCTCTGGGTCAAAGATTCCAGTCATATACACAAGTGCGTTCTGCGTGTGTGTGCGCCCGTGTGTGTGTGTGTGTGTGTTTGTTTGTGATCTATGATTTTGACCCTTCTTACTTGCATCAAAGACATACACTGTTTCGCCTGAGCCCTGAACAAAGCCCGGCGGAGGCTCTGAAGCGTCAGGAACGCTCAACACAGTGACTGCCTTCAAGATTGTCGCTGAATCCCAAAAACCTAGATGTACGACATAAGAACCAATGCCAATGCCTCGTTCTCAGGCTCGAAGGCAGTCCTTTCATGTGTTCATCGTGGATGCACTTTTTGAACTTGAAAGAATCGGCAATCCTGCGTACTGCATCTGGCAGGCGGAAGAAAGCCTCATGCTCCAATGCTCTGCTCTTGCTGATTGATAAATACAAACCAAAGCTTGGCCGGCTTCAGACTCTCTGAGGCTCTGGCATCCAGGATGTAGTGAGCATTTCGAAAGGACGATCCTGCAAGAACATGGAATGATTTTTTCCAAACTGTCGGATACTAGCCCACCGGTTCCTAGCGGATCTTCGTCTGTCTATACTGTGAATTATATGCGCATGGTTCCACTGTGGGTACACACTCAATGAGCGCTGCTCATGAAGTTTCATGAAACCTACAAAATTTTTGGGTTTGACCGGGCATCCCCACCGTTCTGGCGGCTCAAGTGCTTTGAAATGTCGCAGCGACTGGCGCGAAAAATTTAAGTTGGCGTGCGTGTAGAATGCAGTTGAGATTGAGTGACACTGAAAGAACAACTCAACAACTTGGTATGAGCATAAGTTCGCGAGCGCAAAGGCTGGAGAAACCATGGGAAGAAGAGATCCAAATCCTCGAAGAAGTTTTGCACCTGCACCAATGTCAAAGCCGTAAACTAACCATGAGTAAGCCTCAAAAAGTTCCAAGTCTTGACAGAAGGACCGTTGGTGTGCACGCAAAATTGCACCAGGGCCTCATCTGGTATACATTCTCCGCGAAGCATCTGCAAAAGGTGAGCAAGATCGTACCTGAATGACGAGCTTCAAAGCCCTTTGCAGGGGCAAACCACCCATTAGGCTTGATGAAGGCATGCGACAACTGCTGGCAGGGCACAGGCCAGCCAAGACTATGTGTGGCCTTAGCAGAACACAAGTACAAGTTTGAGTCCCAACACGATCCCTTTGTTTTCGTCTCCACTAGTTCAAAGCCCTGGGTTTGAGCCCAAGTTACGGTACGTGTCATACCCTGGCAGCTGTACAAAATTCGAACTGATGAACTGTTTGCTAATATCACACCCGTCTTATCTACAGGTTTAACACGTTGTCTGTCAGGACTTTATACATGCAAAAGTTCGCGGGTTGGACTTCTCGATTCCAATGAAATGAAAAGTTCACATACCAGGAAGGAATTCTGGGACCTACCTCGCAGGTCTCGATTTGATTCCATCGATCACTGTTTCACCGCCGGCCAGTACTCGAAGCAAGTAGCCCGGCCGCATGGACTTTGTCAGTCAATCTACAAGTTGACTGCCAGTGTAAGTCCATTGAAGTTCGTCTCCGTGCGGTGCATAGCGATGCAGTGTCTTCCCACAGTCAACCCCCAGCCTTTCTCAAGCTCGACAACTCTATTCCAAACATTGGACCTTCTGCATCACTTCACCGCGCAAGTGATCACTGACTGAACGACAGTCAGTCACATACAAATGTTTTGCCTTCCTTTGGCTCTCCTCGTGCCAGTTCGACATTGACTGAATGCATCCAAGCTGTTCACAAGTCATTGCTCCTAGACGATCTTCTGCTTCTACTGCGTTTTGTAGGGCGTGAGCCTCTGCCTGAAGAGTTGCTCTGCACACTCTCTTCGACGTTGGAGAGCTCCATGAAATCAGCTGAAGACGATGCCTTTCTCCCAAACCACCACCTGCGTTGGCAAAGTAGGGATTTGTGCTCTGATTGATCTGCAAAGCTCACATCTGAGAAGCTCTCAATCAAGATCGTCTACAAAAGCGATCTTGAACTCGACGCCTTGGAGCGCCAATCCTTGAGCACTGCGCGTCCTCAGCAGTTCATTCACCTTGCAACAAAGGCCAGGTCTCCCGTACCTGCTCATCTATGCCACAGAACCAACCACACTCCGAAAAGAAGTGAGCTCTTCGGGTCACGACGCGCCGTTCCTCCCTGCTGCACGTGGGAGCCGCCCCTGCGCTCCTTCTAGTCATAGCCGTCTCATAGCCGTCATGATGCTCTGCCCCTCTTCTACCTTGCCAATAGCAGCGGGCTCCAAATCGCACGACAGCCGCTTTGCAACCATGACTTGCCCGAAGCTTCATCTTTAGCCTGATCTGCTCACTTGGAGGGCGCTCACAAGCTGCTTGGCCTTCGTCCGCCTGTTGTAGTTGTTCGATTTGCCAACATCTCGAGTCATCTGGCAGAACTCCTTGCCACCAGTCACCAGTGATGATCTTGATCGGTCTCGACTCCATGGCCTGGCCGCAACAGGCGCCTGCACTCTGAGTTATTTGAGAGGTGAAAGCTTGGTCTACCCACCCAAAAGTCCCAGCAAAGCTCAATGGCCCACAGCAAAGTCCAATGAAAAACCAAAATGAAAATTCAGAGTCTGGTCCTCTTCCTCCAATTGCGCATTGCTTCCGGCCCGAGCTCTTGATGACTTTGAGGCACTGGTGGTCCACCGTCCTCAAGTTCCATGTCGAGTTCATGCTGAAACATCTGCATCATCTTAACCCGCACCTTCAACGGACATGCATTCACCTGCAACGGTCTCAAGCCCTCAATGTAGTCCCATTCAAGCTCTTCTGAGTCCTCCTGCACACCAACATACCCATGTTCGACGGTTTCCTCGGGCTTATAGTTATTTATAATGGGTTAATTCTTTTTGAGGTCGTAAAGATCTGGCTCCTGCCAGTCACTATATAACTGTTTCCGTGCCCGATTCGCCGCGCGAGGTGTCCCTCTTCCTCGTCTTCTCTGTCTCGTAAACTCCATACGCACTCCAGTCCTCGATTGTCACTCGTGGAATTCTGCCGGCTCTTGGTCTCCCATCTGACACGCAGCCCGGCTAAAGACATGTTGCAGTCACACTCAACCAACCAAGCTCCAACACAACTCTGGCCAGCTATGCTGCCAATCAACCAAGTCCTGGTTCGGTGAGCCACTGGCTGGGAAACACTCTCCAGCAGCTCCGCTGCCAGTGATCCGTTTGTTCTCGTCTCCACTAGCTCGAGCCCTGGTTTGCACTGGCAGCTGTACAAGACTCGCGTTCGAATGGATAAGATCGCACAAGGGAGGTTGCATGGCACCACATTCTAAAGGGGCGCCGGATTGGTGCCTTGGTTGGACACAGCTGCACAGTAGCTACTGTCGTGTTGTATTGTTCAACAAACATCCGATATCCGATAGCAGCACTTGTATCCTCAGTGCTCTCAGGACGAAAATGCAAGACTCTGGCGCTTCTGGTCTGCCGGGGTGTCCATCCTGATGCTCTCACTCTTCAAAAACATCTGCAGCTGAGCACGCAGATGTCAAAAGCGCTCCTCTCGCACCTCCAAGGTGTTGGTCCCACGGTAGGTGATCCAGTGGACATCCTGACGTACTCTGCCACTGAACACGTCGATTTCTGAGTGTCCAGGTTCGTCAAGTATGCTGCATGCTATGCAACGCTAGGCGTCTATGCTAAAATAATGTCATGCTGAAATGTCATGGCCTGGCTCTGGTGAGAATACAACGAGTTAGCTAGCATGCACGCTGGCTAAACTCGTCATCAAAAAAAGTGCGGCATCAGACTGTTACCATAGCGGTGCTCATTGCCAATGTCAGTGTAACACTAGCCTCGTTCAGAACCAACCCAGAGCCCAAGAGCAGCTCAGCAAACTGATTCGGCTGAATTCCCTGAGCAACTGGTCTTTGAAACCCGTCTGGATTTTCCAGATACAGTATATAATTGAAAGGAAACAACTCCTGAAGAAAGCAACGGCAACATTCATACTTGCCTCCTCCATGTGTCTGCGGATACTCAGGTTCCTCTGCTGACAGAGGCTCTCCACAACTTCCTGACTGTACAGCATGCCGTTGCTTCAAAACTCTCAAAACTCCAGTTTAGTCTTGTTTGCGGCATCAAAAGCTGTTGGGTTTCACCGCACTTGGTCAGGCCTTCGAGTAAAAGTCTCTGCTGGAGTTGAAAGAGAAATTAAACCTGCTTGCACCAATCACTTGCAATCACCACAAACTTACGGGAACCGGGAAACCTTCCCCTTGGTAGATGTCCCCAGAAATGGTTTGAAACTGCGAAACAAAATGAAGTTTACCGGTTATTGTCACTTGTCACTCAAGAGCAAAAGCGGCAAGAATTCACCTACACCCCACCTCCACGTGCAAATGCCTTTGGGTCGTATGCCCCGAGGATCAGAGAATGTGAAGCTGACCTGAAGTACCTTTCGGAGCAGTTCACTGAGTGACATTTCAGGCATTGAGCACATCTCCTGCTCAAACAACGATTTCAAGTTTGATTGACAGCATCCTAGGGATCGTGGAAGCTACACGGCAAACACCCTCTCTTATCTTCCATGGAAAACCACAACCTTCAACCACAACCACAACAACAGCAGCAGCAGCAGCAACAACAACAACAACAACTGCAACTACTACTTACTACAACTACAACTACAACTACAACAACTACAACTACTACTACTACTACTACTACTACTACTACTACTACTACTACTACT